GCATTCAGATGAGGTATACATCAACAGGCAAATAGATTTGGATGTCAACTACAAACCTCCCAAGATCAGGTGGAAGCAAAAAACAGCCACCACCGACCACATGATTAAATGCGGTTGACAACTTCCCTCCTCACTGACCGCATTATTAAATGCGGGGGACGATTATCTTCTTACACACTAACTCATCGTAGAATCTTGTGTTAGTCATCGTTTTGAGTTAACTGTTTTCGCACAACTCTCATGTGTCTGGGAAGCCATAGTCGAAAATTCACGCTTTATTCTTTCCCAAAGAACTTTATCGTTAATAAAATTTAATGGTGTATGCGTAAGATTTCAGATTACAACAAGATTGTGGGAAGGCAAGAAAGTTACGAGTTTCTACCCCTTTCTATAAGGCATGTGAGCATTTTTTAAACGAAATCTCTCACCTGGGAAATCTTAAAGCGCGTCCTGTTTACACCCCTACCGAACCGCCCCTGCATAAGTATTTAGAGTTACTTTGATGAATAAATGAGAAGATTTAGTAATGCCATAGCTATATGCAGTTTACATTAATATTTCGGTTCTCGTTAGGCTGAAAGTTACTTTTAGCAATACTAGTGAACCTTCGAGCTATTTAACTTCCTCACAAACTAATTTCTAACTCGAAGCAGATCGGTATTTTCAGGGGTCTATCGGTGTAGACACAGATCTGGTGTAAATCCTTGGACCGAAGTCCATCAGCGCGATTCCCGCGTGGTTTCTGGTGATGATTTTTCGGCAAAAGTAGCTTATGTAGGCCTACTCATATACCCCTAGTCCCAGCATTTTGTCCTGCGAAAACGGTGGTTATAGAGTTTTGGGGGGTCGGGAAATAGGATAGGCAGAGAAGGAAGTTTTAGAAGTAAGTGTAAAGGTTGCTTCTGGCGGCTGCTGGGAGTAAGTTGTTCCGCATGTAAATTGAAGGTGTGCGCGGCGCTTTTCGCCGCGAACTATACTAATCTAACTCCAGAATGGTAAGTTGGACCTCAGGTAGGTTGAAGTAGACGACCTCCTAACCACCATTT